AAAGAATCTTTCCTCCGTAACCATGGTGTTTAAAAGTCAACTAAAATGCGGGGGAAAAAGGGCTTGAACCCCCTTTTCCTGTAAAGATTACTAAAAAGAATAAGAAGAAGAAAATTGTCAAAGTGGGAAGTCTGAATGTGCGTGGAGTTGTGAATGATAAGAAAGAGATGATTGTGATGTTATAAATGGAAAAACTGGATCCCCTATTTTTAAGGAAACAAAGCTAAAGGGGGGGTGGGAGATTTTTAAAAGGGAGAGGAATAAATGGGTTTAGGTCGGGGGTTTCAAAATAGAGTTAGGCAAAAGAAGGAGTAGCAAAAATGTTGAAGGAAGCTTAGGCAGGAAAGGGGCTAAAAATGCTAAATTCAAGGATTATGTGGAGTAAAATAAAGATTGGATGTAAAAAATGGGTTATGTAAGCGTTTGCACCTGGGGAAGAAAAAGTGTAAGGAAGAGAGAGATTTGGGAAATGTTGAGTGAATGCGGGGGGATTTTTAAATCAAGTGGAGAGTAATGGTGGTTGGGGTTTTTAAAGCAAAAGTGGGTAAAAATGTTATGGGGGGAAATAGAGGTAAAATTTTGGGGGGCCGGGGTAAAGAAAATGGGGCCTTTAATTGAGCTATGTGTAGAAAGAAATTTGGTAAAAGTAAAAAATATTTTTTGAAAAAAAGGGGTAAATAAATATACAAGGATGAGTGCACGTAATGAAAGTAATTTTTTTAGATTTGTATTTTGGGGGTTAAAGGTTGATGGGTAGGTCCAGGATGTAATGTTTTTGAGGGGGGCAATGATATGTCAGATCATTATTTAGTTGTAGCTACATTAGGTAAGAGGTAGATGGGGGAAAAAAGGAAGGGGGCAACAAAAGTAAGAGGGAGGGGAAAGTGTATAAATAAGGGAGGGGGAAGTTCGGCAGATATAAGCGACTTTTGGCAGAAAGGTGGGCTAGGCAAAGATGAATAGTGGGGGGGTTGAAAGGGTTGGAATAGTTTTAAAAATGCGTATTAAAATGTGGGGCAGAAGTTTGGGGTTTAAGGGGGTGGGGGCAGGAGGAAAGAGGAGTGTTTGGGTGGAATGATAAAAAAGGGGTGTGATAAAAGAAAAAAGGTACTTACGAGAGGTTTTTAAAAAGCGAAGTGTTAAAGAAGAGCAGGTATATGGAGGAAAAAGAAAGGTGAAGAGAGTGGTGAGAGAGTGCAAAAGGGAGCAATGAAAGAGGGGAGAGGCACTGTAAAGAAATTTTTAAATGAAAATAAAAAAAAATTTTGGAGTGAGTTAAAAAATTTAAAGAAACCCTGGGAAAAATAGGTTTGTCCTTTAAAAAGCAGAGTGGGGGAGTTGTAGTTGGGAGGGGGGAGGATTATTTTGTGGCGAAAATATTTTGAGGAACTTTTAAATGTTGAGGAAGAAAGGGAGGCGGTAATTTCTGCCTGGCCAGGGGGGTATACCACTTTTAGGGTGAAAAAGAGAGAATGTAAGTGTGGTGGGGTATGTGAGGGATTACAAAATGAAAGGGGGGTTTAAAAAACTGGGAAATGATGGGTCATGGGAAAGAAAAGTTTAAAAAAAGGGGGGGATTTGTGTTGGAGTGGTTGGTACTTTTGTTTTAAAAAATGTATGAAAAGAGGGGAAAGGTTTCCCAGGGATTGGCGGAGAGCAAAGTTTTAGTCCCTTTTTATAAAGGGAAAGGGCAAAAAAGATTGTAAAAATTATAGAGGGGATAATTTAGAGTATCCAAGGGGAAAAATATACGAAAAGTTTAAATTTAAAGAATTAGAGGTAAGATAGAAAAGTAAAATTTCGGATGGCAAGGAGGTTCAGAGTGGGGAGAGGAGTGTGATCAAGTTTAAATTGAAGCATATAGTGAACAGTATTTGAAAAGGTAGGGAAGTTTTTTTTTGCATTTATGGATTAGAAAAGCAATGACAGGTGGATAGAGGGCAAAGTGGCAGAGTTGCAATTTTTTGGAATGGTGGTAAGTTATTAAATGCTGTAAAAAGGCATTTTTGGGGATAGTAGGCTCAGGTTAGGGTTGTAGAAAGAGGGAGAATACTTCCCAGTAAAAGAGGTTTAACGGGGTTGTAATTTTCCCATGGTTTTTTTAAAATTTTTATAGATGGGGTTGAAAAGAAGTAAATGCTGGGTGTTCGGGAGAGGGGGGGATTAAATTAGGGGGAATCAAATTAAAAATGGGAATTGCACATTTTTTTTTGCAGATGTACTGTGTTATGGGAGATTCAAAAAGAAAAATTGAAAGGTTAGGGGAGGTTTGAAATGTGTGAAAGGGGTAAAATTAAAAGTGAACTAGAAAAGGGGTAAGGTGAGAGGTATCAAATGTTTTAGTAAAAAAAAATTGGATATAAATTGGGGAGGAGGAGTAGGGAAAAGAAGTGAATGTTTCAGATATGGGATTTGATTTTCGGCGGATGGATTTATGAAGGTGGGGTTTAAATCATAGAATTTGAGGGAAAAAAGGTGAATGGTGCGTTGAGGTAGTGGGGAGTCAAAAAACATTATCATGGGGCAAGAAGGGAAGTTGAAAATAGTAGTCCCCAAAACTCTTTTATGGGTTGAAGCTTTGGGGGGTAAAGCAGCAGCGAGGAGACGGTTTGGGGCAATGGGAAAGTCCGTCTAAAGGGGAATTGTGGTGTAAATATTATGCAGAAAATTCGGAGTTGGAAAATTAGGAGAGGTGTGGAGTTAATAAAAGCATTAGTCAGGGGAAAAAGGGGGGGTTTGTTGAGGGGGTTTTGGTCATTTAAGAGAATGAATCAAAGTAGAATGACATGGAAAGATAAAAATCTTGGGAAGGGAAAGAGGGGTGGGGGGTCGCCCTCAAAAGGGTTTGGAAAGAGGGGGAAAAGGAGGTTTTGTGGGCGAGGGGTTGGACTTCCAGCAAGCGTGCATGTGCATGTTAGATAGGAGGAAGGGAGCGAATGATATTGGGACCTGACGATCTGTTGGAGTGTGAGGGGAATATTTAGTGAAGGGATTCGGGGAAACCGGGTTTTTTTCATATTCAGATCGAGCCCGGGAAAAAGGGGGAAGTACAATCCCTCATTTTAAAGGAGGGGTTTGGGGGATATTGGCATTTTGGGAGGGATATGTTGTGTATCTTTATACGAAATTTGTTCAAAAATGTTGTATTTGGCACCTCTGCAAAAGCATGAAAATGGTGAGTGGGTTTTGAAAGTGTTGAATGATGATGAAAGTATTTTCTTTTTGGGGATTTTCTTTTTTTTTTGGGGTCCCCCCGCCTGGGGGGAGCGACCGACTTGTTGAGAAAAAAAAAAAAAAAAAAAAAAAAAAAAAAAAAAACTTTTTTATCCCCCTTTTCTATAGAAATTTTAAAAGGTCTTAAATCATTTCCCCCTGTCACCCCAAATTTCCCCTACTGTGCCCTCTACAACCATTTCCCCCCACTTCAGCATTCTTCCCCTTACCAAATTACTTTCTACTTGATTCAAAAACCCAAAATACTCACTTAACATTTTCTAAATCTGTCTCATCCACACTCTTTTTCCAAAAGCATAAACTTTTAGTATAATCCATTTTTTCATCTCACCCTTATTTTAATCTACTAATCCTTGAATTAAACATATAAATTCTCTCTTTTCCCATAACTGACCCTTAAAACTTTATTCCCACCCTTTCTTTAGTTCTAATTCCTCTCTATCCCTTGACCAAATCCCATTTATTTCTTCCCACTGAAACCCCTCTATCCCCTTCATTTTTGTTTTACTTAGAGTCAGGACACCCAATTTCTTCTCATTCATAACCTGGCAATCCCTTTTTTCTTTCACTGCAATATATCCTGCACATTCAAAAATTAGGGAGTAGGTGGGGAGACAGCAACGCCCAGGGAGGTCTACCCCCCTGCCAAATGAGTGTAAAACAAAGCCCTTTAAATTTTTTTACTGATGGGGGATTTCTGGGGTCCCTTTTTTTTCTGTCTCTGAAATGCAAAAATTCAGGTTCGTCTTGTACTTCATTCATCAGGTACATAACATAAAGTAAAGATAATATACATACCCCTCTGGGTTTTCTTTTATTTTTTTTTAGTTCTTGTTCTTGTTTATTTCCTCTTATCTCCGGGGAAGTGGAACAGAATTCTTCCTCCGAGGCCATGTGTGTTGAAGGGCACTAAAAGCCGGGACAAGGGGCTGTAACCCCCTTTCCCCGTTATATTATAAATTTTGAAAGGGGAGAAACTTTGTTTTTTTTTTTTTTGGGCCACCCCGCCTCGGGGGGGGATACGGCCGGTTGTTGAAAGAAAAAACTTAAACATTCCCCTTTTAAAAAAAGTTTTTTTTTTTTTTTTTCAAGTGGCGTTCCCACCAAAGCCTAGTAAAAAATATTTTTTTAACACATTGACAGTCTCCCACCAAGACAGGGGGGGACAAAAAAAAAAAAAAAAAAAAAATTTTCACCCAAAATTCACACAAAAATTATTTTTGGGAAAGATGCCAGATATGAGTCTAGATTTTCTCCCAAAAAGCAATATCCCAAACTCTTCATTTAAAGTTCAGGCATTGTACTTCCCACCTCCAGGACTCAAGTCTGGCTACTGGTTTCCATGAATCCCTTCACATAATATTACCATTTATCTTCATTCACTCTTATCTGACATGCTCACACATGCCTGCAGCATGTCCAAGCCCCATGCACACAAAATACCATTTTCATATAACACAATAAAAACAAAATTAAGAAAGCTACAAACATGAATTACATGAGATCTGGGAAGAAAATAGCTTAGAGAGAGGAATATTTGCATAGGTGTCTTCAAGCATGGTGATGACACATACCTGAAGCAGAATATCTGGACTATACATGATTTTCATTTCCTATTAATTTTATATTCCAATATACATATATGTATCCAATCATAACCTTCCAAGAAATGTAATAACTTTATTAGAACTAATTTTGAGAATAAAAAAAAAACTTTGAGCAACATAATTTACTTAGGTAAATTTGAGCTAAGTAAAGAGAATTACCTGGAGGTAAGAATGATGCATCTCTCCCATCCTTAGGTGCCCATGGTAAACAATAACTGTGTTCCATGAGGACTGGAGACCGCTGCTCCTCTCCAGTGGAACCAGAAATTCGACTTGAAACTGATGAAGAGGAAGTGCTTGAAGATGAAGAAGTGGATCTGGCTCTGCCATTGACATCTCCTCCAGCAAGTGCCATCAGAGCCTCGGCAGCTTCTGCAGATTCGCCCATACCATCGTCCAGATCACTTTTTTCATCAGCAGTGTCAGTCTATACCCAAAGAATAAAATTTATTTGTTATAAAAAAAAAAGAATGAGCTTGGATCTATTATAATTATAACATTCTACTATTTTCTGTCACAGATATAAAGTGTGTATAGAAAAGAAGGTTTAAGGCATATCCACAATGAATATATGCTGAAGATAAGAATAGTAAGTGAGGATGAATTAACCTTGAGAAATTAATTATTTTTACAAAGATCAGTACAGAACTCATATTAACCCTTTGACTGTCACAACCCCAAATCCTGAAGTGTCTCCTGGTGTTGAAAAAAAAAAAAAAAGATTTTTCTTACGAAATGATAGACAATCTTTTCCTGATGCTAATGACATCAAAAGTACGAAGTTTGATCAAAAATTTATGGAACTATGCTCCCGTGAAGTTAGCGATCTTGGGGACATATAATACGCATCTACGATTTTACCGACTTTGAGCCCTGTTTTTGGTCAATTCCATTGTTCCAGTCGACCAAACTCATAGCTATTTTTTTAGAACTCCATTTTTTCTATCAACTGAGTACAAGAAACCGCCTATTTACCGGTTTCAACTACCCAATAAAGTGGTCAGAAATTGGCAATTTGGCCAATTTCATGCAAATTAAAAGAGATGCCAATTTCATAATAGGGTCCAGAATAAACACTGCAGACATTCTTGGCACTAAAATAACATATCTTCTGTTCAACAGTCATGTCTCCAGGCCCCTCTTATATTACTCTTGCTATTTTGATTTTTAATTCACAAAAAAATAGGTAGTTTATGTAGTAGGCTGGTAGACAGCAACCACCCAGAGAAGTACTACCGTCCTGCCAGATGACTGTGAAACAGAAACCTGTAACTGTTTTGCATGATGGTGGGATTGCTGGTGTCTTTTTCTGTCTCATAAACACGCTAGATAACAGGGATATCTTGCTACTCCTACTTACACTTTGGTCACACTTCACAGACACGCACATGCATATATATATATATATATACATACATCTAGGTTTTTCACCTTTTTCTAAATAGCTCTTGTTCTTCTTTATTTCTTCTATTGTCCATGGGGAAGTGGAAAAGAATCTTTCCTCAGTAAGCCATGCGTGTCGTATGAGGCGACTAAAATGCCGGGAGCGATGGGCTAGTAACCCCTTCTCCTGTAGACATTAACTAAAAAAGAAAAGAAAAACTTTATAAAACTGGGATGCTTGAATGTGCATGGATGTAGTGCAGATGACAAGAAACAGATGACTGCTAATGTTATGAATGAAAAGAAGTTGGATGTCCTGGCCCTAAGCAAAACAAAGCTGAAGGGGGTAGGGGAGTTTCGGTGGGGGGAAATAAATGGGATTAAATCTGGAGTATCTGAGAGAGATAGAGCTAAGGAAGGGGTAGCAGTAATGTTGAAGGATCAGTCATGGAAGGAGAAAAGAGAATATGAATGTGTAAATTCAAGGATTATGTGGATTAAAGTAAAGGTTGGATGTGAAAAGTGGGTCATAATAAGCGTGTACGCACCTGGAGAAGAGAGGAATGCAGAGGAGACAGAGAGATTTTTGGGAGATGTTAAGTGAATGTATAGGAACCTTTGAACCAAGTGAGAGAGTAATTGTGGTAGGGGACCTGAATGCTAAAGTAGGAGAAACTTTTAGAGAGGGTGTGGTAAGTAAGTTTGCGGTGCCAGGTGTAAATGATAATGGGAGCCCTTTGATTGAACTTTGTATAGAAAGGGGTTTAGTTATCGGTAATACATATTTTAAGAAAAAGAGGATAAATAAGTATACAAGATATGATGTAGGGCGAAATGACAGTAGTTTGTTGGATTATGTATTGGTAGATAAAAGACTGTTGAGTAGACTTCAGGATGTACATGTTTTTAGAGGGGCCACAGATATATCAGATCACTTTTTAGTTGTAGCTACACTGAGAGTAAAAGGTAGATGGGATACAAGGACAATAGAAGCATCAGGGAAGAGAGAGGTGAAGGTTTATAAACTAAAAGAGGAGGCAGTTAGGGTAAGATATAAACAGCTATTGGAGGATAGATGGGCTAATGAGAGCATAGGCAATGGGGTCGAAGAGGTATGGGGTAGGTTTAAAAATGTAGTGTTAGAGTGTTCAGCAGAAGTTTGTGGTTACAGGAAAGTGGGTGCGGGAGGGAAGAGGAGCGATTGGTGGAATGATGTAAAGAGAGTAGTAAGGAGAGAAAAGTTAGTATATGAGAAGTTTTTACAAAGTAGAAGTGATGCAAGGAGGGAAGAGTATATGGAGAAAAAGAGAGAGGTTAAGAGAGTAGTGAAGCAATGTAAAAAGAGAGCAAATGAGAGTGGGTGAGATGTAATCAAAAATTTTGTTGAAAATAAGAAAAAGTTTTGGAGTGAGATTAACAAGTTAAGGAAGCCTAGAGAACAAATGGATTTGTCAGTTAAAAATAGGAGAGGAAAGTTATTAAATGGAGAGTTAGAGGTATTGGGAAGATGGAGGGAATATTTTGAGGAAATGTTAAATGTTGATGAAGATAGGGAAGCTGTGATTTCGTGTATAGGGCAAGGAGGACTAACATCTTGTAGGAGTGAGGAAGAGCCAGTAGTGAGTGTGGGGGAAGTTCGTGAGGCAGTAGGTAAATTGAAAGGGGGTAAGGCAGCCAGGATTGATGGGATAAAGAGAGAAATGTTAAAAGCAGGTGGGGATATAGTTTTGGAGTGGTTGGTGCAATTATTTAATAAATGTATGGAAGAGGGTAAGGTACCTAGGGATTGGCAGAGAGCATGCATAGTTCCTTTGTATAAAGGCAAAAGGGACAAAAGAGAGTGCAAAAATTATAGGGGGATAAGTCTGTTGAGTATACCTGGTAAAGTGTATGGCAGAGTTATTATTGAAAGAATTAAGAGTAAGACAGAGAATAGGATAGCAGATGAACAAGGAGGCTTTAGGAAAGGTAGGGGGTGTGTGGACTAGGTGTTTACAGTGAAACATACAATTTTATTTTTTTTATTATCAAACTGGCCGATTCCCACCAAGGCAGGGTGGCCCAAAAAAGAAAAACTTTCACCATCATTCACTCCATCACTGTCTTGCCAGAAGGGTGCTTTACACTACAGTTTTTAAACTGCAACATTGACACCCCTCCTTCAGAGTGCAGGCATTGTACTTCCCATCTCCAGGACTCGAGTCCGGCCTGCCGGTTTCCCTGAACCCCTTCATTAATGTTACTTTGCTCACACCCCAACAGCACGTCAAGTATTAAAAACCATTTGTCTCCACTCCTATCAAACACGCTCACGCATGCCTGCTGGAAGTCCAAGCCCCTCGCACACAAAACCTCCTTTATCCCCTCCCTCCAACCTTTCCTAGGCCGACCCCTACCCCACCTTCCTTCCACTACAGACTGATACACTCTTGGAAGTCACTCTGTTTCGCTCCATTCTCTCTACATGTCCGAACCACCTCAACAACCCTTCCTCAGCCCTCTGGACAACAGTTTTGGCAATCCCGCACCTCCTCCTAACTTCCAAACTACGAATTCTCTGCATTATATTCACACCACACGTTGCCCTCAGACATGACATCTCCACTGCCTCCAGCCTTCTCCTCGCTGCAACATTCATCACCCATGCTTCACACACATATAAGAGCGTTGGTAAAACTATACTCTCATACATTCCCCTCTTTGCCTCCAAGGACAAAGTTCTTTGTCTCCACAGACTCCTAAGTGCAACACTCACCCTTTTCCCCTCATCAATTCTATGATTCACCTCATCTTTCATAGACCCATCCGCTGACACGTCCACTCCCAAATATCTGAATACATTCACCTCCTCCATACTCTCTCCCTCCAATCTGATATCCAATCTTTCATCACCTAATCTTTTTGTTATCCTCATAACCTTACTCTTTCCTGTATTCACTTTAATTTTCTTCTTTGTACACCCTACCAAATTCATCCACCAATCTCTGCAACTTCTCTTCAGAATCTCCCAAGAGGACAGTGTCATCAGCAAAGAGCAACTGTGACAACTCCCACTTTATGTGTGATTCTTTATCTTTTAACTCCACGCCTCTTGCCAAGACCCTCGCATTTACTTCTCTTACAACCCCATCTATAAATACATTAAACAACCATGGTGACATCACACATCCTTGTCTAAGGCCTACTTTTACTGGGAAATAATTTCCCTCTTTCCTACATACTCTAACTTGAGCCTCACTATCCTCGTAAAAACTCCTCACTGCTTTCAGTAACCTACCTCCTACACCATACTCATGCAACATCTGCCACATTGTCCCCCTATCCACCCTGTCATATGTCTTTTCCAAATCCATAAATGCCACAAAGACCTCTTTAGCCTTATCTAAATACTGTTCACTTATATGTTTCACTGTAAACACCTGGCCCCACACATCCCCTACCTTTCCTAAAGCCTCCTTGTTCATCTGCTATCCTATTCTCAGTCTTACTCTTAATTCTTTCAATAATAACCCTACCATATACTTTACCAGGTATACTCAACAGACTTATCCCCCTATAATTTTTGCACTCTCTTTTGTTCCCTTTGCCTTTATATACAAAGGAACTATGCATGCTCTCTCCCAAATCCCTAGGTACCTTACCCTCTTCCATACATTTATTTAATAGTAATTGCACCAACCACTCCAAAACTACATCCCCACCTGCTTTTAACATTTCCATCTTTATCCCATCAATCCCGGCTGCCTTACCCCCTTTCATTTTACCTACTGCCTCACGAACTTCCCCCACACTCACAACTGGCTCTTCCTCACTCTTACAAGATGTTATTCCTCCTTGCCCTATACACGAAATCACAGGTTCCCTATGTTCATCAACATTTAACAATTCCTCAAAATATTCCCTCTATCTTCCCAATACCTCTAACTCTCCATTTAATAACTCTCCTCTCCTATTTTTAACTGACAAATCCATTTGTTCTCTAGGCTTCCTTAACTTGTTAATCTCACTCCAAAACTTTTTCTTATTTTCAACAAAATTTGTTGATAACATCTCACCCACGACTCAAGAAATTGTAAAGACACGATTGCAAACAAACCATACCCCCGGCCGGGATTGAACCCGCAGTCATAGAGTCTCAAAACTCCAGCCCATCGCGTTAGCCACTAGACCAGCTAGCCACAATAAGATTCCTCCAACTAGGTATATTTCTACACCATAGGAATGTTAGCATAGGCACCACTGTGACCACAAATGCAAGTTTTTGCAGATGAATCTCCAGCTAGCGTGGCCGTGACGAACTCTAGCTCAAGTCCCTTCACTGCCGTCAACATGACTCAAGAAATCGTAATGACACGATTGCAAACAAACCATACCCCCGGCCGGGATTGAACCCGCGGTCATAGAGTCTCAAAACTCCAGCCCGTCGCGTTAGCCACTAGACCAGCTAGCCACAATAAGATTCATCCAACTAGGTATATTTCTACACCATAGGAATGTTAGCACAGGCACCACTGTGACCACAAATGCAAGTTTTTACAGACGAATCTCCAGACGGCAGTGAAGGGACTTGAGCTAGAGTTCGTCACGGCCACGCTAGCTGGAGATTCGTCTGAAAAAACTTGCATTTGTGGTCACAGTGGTGCCTGTGCTAACATTCCTATGGTGTAGAAATATACTTAGTTGGATGAATCTTATTGTGGCTAGCTGGTCTAGTGGCTAATGCGACGGGCTGGAGTTTTGAGACTCTATGACCGCTGGTTCAATCCCGGCCGGGGTATGGTTTATCTCACCCACTCTCTCATTTGCTCTCTTTTTACATTGCTTCACCACTCTCTTTTTCTCCATATACTCTTCCCTCCTTGCATCACTTCTACTTTGTAAAAACTTCTCATATGCTAACTTTTTCTCCCTTACTACTCTCTTTACATCATCATTCTACCAATTGCTCCTCTTCACTCCTGCACCCACTTTCCTGTAACCACAAACTTCTGCTGAACACTCTAACACTACATTTTTAAGCCTACCCCATACCTCTTCGACCCCATTGCCTATGCTCTCATTAGCCCATCTATCTTCCAATAACTGTTTATATCTTACCCTAACTGCCTCCTCTTTTAGTTTATAAACCTTCATTAAAGAGGTCTTTGTGGCATTTATGGATTTGGAAAAGGCGTATGACAGGGTGGATAGGGGGGCAATGTGGCAGGTGTTTCAGGTGTATGGCGTAGGTGGTAGGTTACTGAAAGCAGTGAAGAGTTTTTACGAGGATAGTGAGGCTCAAGTTAGAGTATGTAGGAAAGAGGGAAATTATTTCCCAGTAAAAGTAGGCCTTAGACAAGGATGTGTGATGTCACCGTGGTTGTTTAATATATTTATAGATGGGGTTGTAAGAGAAGTAAATGTGAGGGTCTTGGCAAGGGGCGTGGAGTTAAAAGATAAAGAATCACACATAAAGTGGGAGTTGTCACCAGTGGCTCTATGCTGATGACACTGTGCTCTTGGGAGATATTCTGAAGAGAAGTTGCAGAGATTGGTGGATGAATTTGGTTAGGGTATGCAAAAGAGGAAAATAAAAGTGAATACAGGAAAGAGTAAGGTAAGAGGATAACAAAAAGTTTAGGTGATGAAGATTGGATATCAGATTGGGAGGGAGAGAGTTGGAGTGAGGTGAATGTATTCAGATATCTGGGAGTGGACGTGCTGTCAGCGGATGGTCTAAGAAGATGAGGTGAATCATAGAATTGATGAGGGGAAAAGGTGAGTGTTGCACTTAGGAGTCTGTGGAGACAAAGAACTTTGTACTTGGAGGCCAAAGAGGGGAATGTATGAGAGTATGTTTTTACCAACGCTGTTATATGGTGTGAAGCATGGGTGATAATGTTGCAGCGAGGAGAAGGCTGGAGGCAGTGGGATGTCATGTCTGAGGGCAATGTTTTCTGTGGGTGTGAATATAATTGCAGAGAATTCGTGTTTGGATGTTTGGAGGAGTTGCGGGGATTGCAAAACTGTTGTCCAGAGGGTGAGGAGGGTGTTGAGGTGGTTCGGACATGTAGAGAGGAATGGAGCGAACAGAGTGACTTCAAGAGTGTATCAGTCTGGTAGTGGAAGGAAGGTGGGGTAGGGTCGGCCTAGGAAAGGTTGGAGGGAGGGGATAAAGGAGGTTTTGTATGCGGAGGGGCTTGGACTTCAGCAGGCATGCGGTTGTGAGCGTGTTTGATAGGAGTGGAGACAAATGGTTTTTAATACCTTGACGTGCTGTTGGGGTAGTCGAGCAAAGTAACATTTAATGAAAGGGTTCAGGGAAACCGGAGGCCGGACTCGATTCCTGGAGATGAGGAAGTACAATGCCTGCACTCTGAAGGAGGGGTGTTAAATGTAGCAGTTTTAAAAAACAGTAGTGTAAAGCCACCCTTATGGCAAGACAAGTGATGGAGTTGAATGAATGGTGAAAGTTTTTCTTTTTCGGGCCACCTGCCTTGGTGGAACGGCCAGGTGTGAAAAAAAAATAAATACAATATTGCAGTAGAATTGTAGTTTGGAAAGTTAGGAGGAGGTGCGGGATTACCAAAACTGTTGTTCAGAGGGCTGAGGTAAGGGTTGTTGAGGTGACGTTTCGGTACATGTAGAGAGAATGAGAGCGAAAAACCAGAATGTACTTAAGAGTGTATCAGTCTGTAGTGGAAGGCAAGGCGGGGGTAGGGGTCGGCCTAGAAAGGTTGGAGGGGAGGGGGTAAAGGGAGGTTTTGTGTGCGAGGGGCTTTTAACGCGGGGGGGAGGGGGGACTTCCAGGCAGGCATGCGTGAGCGTGTTTGTTAGGAGTGAATGGAGACAAATGGTTTTTAATACTTGACGTGCTGTTGGAGTGTGACACAAAAGTAAATTTATGAAGGGATTAGGGAAACCGGCAGGCCGAACTCGAGTCCTGGAGATGGGAAGTACAGTGCCTGCACTCTGAAGGAGGGGTGTTAATGATGCAGTTTAAAAACTGTAGTGTAAAGCACCCTTCTGGCAAGACAGTGATGGAGTGAATGATGGTGAAAGTTTTTCCTTTTTCGGGCCACCTTGCCTTGGTGGGAATCGGCCAGTGTGCTAATAAAAAAAAATAAATCTTCTATTTTTTGTTGAATAAAAATTCAAAACAGAAAGCAGGAATAATATCAGAGGGGCTGGAGACATGACTGATTAACAAAGAAAATGTTATTTTAGAGCCAGGAATGTCTGCATTGTTCATTCTGGACACTATTTTGAAATTGTCATATTTTTTTAATTTTCATGAAATTGTGGCAAATTGCAAATTTCTGACCACGTTATTGGGTAGTTGAAATCGGTAAATGGGCAGTTTCTTGTACTCAATCGATAGAAAAAATGGAGTTCTAAAGAAATAGCTATGAGTTTGGTCGACTGGAACAATGGAATTAGCCGAAAATAGGATTCAAAGTGGGCGACATCGCCGATTCGTAAATATCGCCGAGGTCGCTAACTTTGCGAGAGCGTAATTCCATCAGTTTTTCCATCAAATTTTGTTGTTTTGGTGTCATTACAATCGGGAAAAGCTTCTCTATCATTTCATGAGAATTTTTGGGAAGGGGGGGGGGGGTTGCGACACCAGGAGACAGACACCTCAGGATTTGGGGTTGCGACAGTCAAGGGGTTAAAGGAGGAATTTGGGATACTGGGAAGTCTGGAGGGATGTCTAAGGTGTCATATCTGAGAACCTCTGCAAACACAGTGATTATTTATGAGTGATGGCGAAAATGTTGAATGATTTAAGCTTTTTCTTTCTTTGTGGGTCACCCTGCCTCGGTGGGAAACGGCCAATGTGGTAAAAAAAAAAAAAAAAAAATCTAGACAATAATATGTGATCGATGCATGTGGGCATGTTCATCTCTCAGTGTGTAAATATATATCTGTGACCATTTCATTACTATTTCCGTACCTAATCTTTGTGTCAAAACAACCAGTGGTTATGCAATTACAAGATGTATTCTTAATTATAAATATCAGAATATAAAACTACATAAATTTAATAAAAAACAGAAAAAATGGGTTATCTGAGAGTCTCGACATCTGCAAGCAGTTGGATTCCATGTATGTTGGTGTCACGTGAGCATCCAGTGCCAACTTCACCGCCTTATATCTCATTAAGTAATGACTCTGTGTTTTTATTTAGAAATTTAGAAAACTAACCACTTTTTTTTTACTTTTTTTAAATATTTGGAGCACTAGTGTAGATGCATTGATAAGTGCCATGACAGTTAAAGGTTAATGAATAGAAAATTCTGATACACTGACAAGATAAAAAGATTGATATGAGTAAAATACATCTTAACAAGTTTTAAGTTAATTTCCCATAAAAAAGGTATCAAGGCACTCTCTTCTCTTTGCTAGGTGATATAAGCTGCAATGTACCACTGAGCCAGAGTCAAGGTACCACCTTTTCCCTGCTATAAGGTTACATATATTGTAGTGTACCTCTGAGACTGATATGTTGTTGTATCACTGGGCTTGAGTCATGGTACCACCTTGTCCCTGCTAGGTTCATACGTTGTAGTGTAACATTGAACCAAGTCATGGGATACAGTGCCTCTGCTAAAAAATGATACATGTTGTAGTGTACCTCTGAGCCTGAGTCATGGGATACAGTGTCTGGTGGCTTCTTCACCTTCTCCACTTCTTTTCTTCTCTCCTTGGGCTTCTTGGTCTTGGCCTTCTTCTCAGCAGCAATGGGAGATTTGGTGGGCTTCTTCAATGGTGTAGAAGCAGGTGAGTCAGCTTTCTTTGGTATTTGTTTACTCTTAGTTGGAGATTTCTTTTTGGGAGAGACAACTGGTTCCTGCAACTAATATTTATTAGATGAGTAACAAAGAATATTCTGTATAGTACAAAGAAAATTCTGCATTAACTTAATTCTTCATATACTATAAGGCACTAAAGTATTTAATTTTTTTTTTTTTCAACACGTTGGTCGTCTCCCACCGAGGCAGGGTGACCCAAAAAAGAAAAAGAAATCCCCAAAAAGAAAATACTTTCATCATTCAACACTTTCACCACACTCACACATTATCACTGTTTTTGCAGAGGTGCTCAGAATACAACAGTTTAGAAGCATATACATATAAAGATACACAACATATCCCTCCAAACTGCCAATTATCCCAAACCCTCCGTTAAAGTACAGGCATTGTAATTCCCATTTCCAGGACTCAAGTCAGACTATATGAAAATAACCGGTTTCCTGAATCCCTTCACTAATTATTACCCTGCTCAAACTCCAACAGATCGTCAGAGTCCCAAGTATCATTCGTCTCCATTCACTCCTATCTAACACGCTCATGCACGTTGCTGGAAGTCCAAGCCCCTCGCCCACAAAACCTCCTTACCCCCTCTTTCACCAATCGAGGGACGACCCTACCCCTCTCTTCCTTTTCACCTTAGATTTATATGCTTTCCATGTCATTCTACTTGATCCAATCTCTCTAAATGACCAAACCACCTCAACAACCCCTCGTTCTGCAATCTGACTAATGCTTTTATTACTCCACACCTTCTCCTAATTTCCACACTCCGAATTTTCTGCACAATATTTACACCACACATTGCACTTAGAAAGGACAATCTCCACTGCCTCAACGTTCTCCCGCTGCTGCATTTTACCACAAGCTCACTCCAATATAAGAGTGTTGGTACTACTATACTTTCATACATTCCGCTTCTTTGCCTTACATAAATCCATCGACGTCACGTCAACTCCCAAGTATCTGAAACATTCACTTCTTCCATACTCCTCCTCCCAATTTGATATCCAATTTTTCTTTTATCTAAATCGTTTGATACCCTCATCACCTTACTCTTTTCACATGTACTTTTCAACTTTCTCCTTTCACACGTTCTCAAACTCATCCACTAACCTATTGCAATTTTTCTTTAGAATCTCCCATAAGCACAGTATCATCAAGCAAAAGATAACTGTGTCAATTCCCATTTGATTTGTTTCCCCAATAATTTAATCCCGACCCATCTCCCGAAACATCCCTAGGTCATTTACTTCTTTTACAACCCCATCTATAAATATGTTAAGACAACCATGGTGACATTACACATCCCTGTCTAAGACTACTTTTACGGGAAGTAGTCTCCCTTCTCTTCTATCTAACCCTAAACCTGAGCCTCACTATCCTCATAAAAGCTCTTTTACAGCATTTACTAAACCTTACCACTTATGTCCATATACTTGACAAATCTGCCGCACATTGCTCCTCTATCCACCTCTATCATATACCTTTTCTTATCCATTAAATGCAATAAAATCTTCCTTACCTTTAATCTAAATACTGCTACATATATGCTTTCAATGTAAACAACTTGCTCTACACTACTCTACCCACACTGAAGCTCCTTGCTTTCCGCAATTCTCATTCTGTTTCCTCTAATTCTATTCAATTATACCCTACCGTATACTTTTCCTGGTATACTCAGTTAAACTTATTCCTCTATAATTTTTACAATAATCTTTTGTCCCATTTCCATTTATATAAAGGGACTATACAATGTTCTTGCCAATCCCTAGGTACCTTCCCTCTTTCATACATTTTATTAAACAAAAGTACAACACTCCAACACTATATCCCCCCCCTCAGTTCCAGCTGCTTTACCCCCTTTCATTCTATGTAATGCCTCACGAACCTCCACAACACTTACATTTCTGCTCTTCTTCACTTAAAAGATGGTATACCTCCCTGGCCAGTGCATGAAATACCGCCTCCTTTCTTCCTCAGCATTTAAAAGTTCTACTCAAGGATATTCTCGCCATCTACCTAATACCTCCCTCTGCCCCATCTACTAACTACCTACTCTGTTTTTAACTGACAAATCCATTACTTTTCCCTAGGATTTCTTAAACTGGGTTAAACTCACTCCAAAATTTTTTCTTATTTTCATTTAAAATTTCTTGCAGTGCCTCTCCCACTCCTTTACATCTGCTCTCCTTGCACCTCCTCTCACCACTCTCTTCACCTTACTTTTTACTCCCCCCCCCCCTCCCCCCTCCCAACTCTGCTCTGCTTATAACACTTCTGCTTTGTAAAAAAAACCTCTCGTAAGTACCTTTTTTCTCTTTTATCACAAACCCTTACTTCATCATTCCACCATGTGGATCACTCCTCTTTCCTCCTGCCCCCACCCTCCTATAACACAAACTTCTGCCCACATTTCTAATACTGCATTTTAAAACTATTCAACCCTCTTCAACTCCCCACTACTCTTCTTTGCATCTAGCCCACCTTTTGCCAATAGTCGATTATTATATCTCGCCCCGAACTTCCTCCTCCCTTAGTTTATACACTTTCACCTCCCTCTTACTTGTTGTTGCACCCTTCATCTTTTCCATCTACCTCTTACTCTAATGTAGCTACAACTAAATAATGATCTGATATATCAGTTGCCCCTCTATAAACATGTACTTCCTGGGCCTACCCATCAACCTTTTATCCACCAATACATAATCAAATACTTTAATTACGGTGCTACCATCATACCTTGTATATTTATTTATCATCAATTTCATAAAATATGTGTTACTTATACCAAATTTCTTTCTACACATAGCTCAATTAAAGGCCTCCCCATTTACATGTACCCCTGGCACCCCAAATTTACCTACTACTCCCTCCATAAACATTTTTACCCACTTAGCATTGAAATTCCCAACACCATTACTCTCAACTTGATTCGAAACTCCCGCATTCACTCAACATTTCCCAGAATCTTCTCTCTCTCCTCTACACTGCTCTCTTCTCCAAGTGCATACACGCTACGTATCCCACAAATTTAAACAACAAGACAATCATCTCCCCGTAAAATTATTTATATTTTATTATTATCCACACTGGGCCGATTCCCACCAAGGCAGGGAGTGGCCCGAAAAAAGAAAAACTTTACCATCATTCACTCCATCACTGTCTTGCCAGAAGGGGTGCCTTTACCACTACAGTTTTTTAAACTGCAACATTAACACCCTCCTTCAGAGGCAAGGCATTGTACTTCCCCAATCTCCAGGGGGACTATTGTCTGGCCCTGCCGGTTTTCATGAACCACTTCATTAATGTTACTTTGCACACACTCCAACAGCACGTCAAGTTTTAAAATACTTTTGTCTCCATTTCACTTCCTATCAACACGCTCACGCGTGCCTGCTGGAAGTCCCAAGCCCTCGCCACACAAAACCTCCTTTATCCCCTCTCCAACCTTTCGTAGGCGACCCTACCCCGCCTTCCTTCCATACAGACTGATACACTCTTGAAGTATTCTGTTTCGCTCATTCTCTCTACATGTTACCGAACGACCGTCAACAACCCTTCCTCAGCCCTGTGGACAACAGTTTGTTAATCCCGACACCTCCGCCTAACTTCCAAAACTACGAATTCTCTGCATTATATTACACACACACATTGCCCTCAGACAGACATCTCCACTGCCTCCAGCCTACTCCTCGCTTGCAACTTTCATCACCCATGCTTCACACCATATAAGTAGCGTTGGTAAAAACTTTTAACTCTCATACATTCCTCTCTTTGCCTCCAAGGACAAAGTTCTTTGTCTCCACAGAATTCCTAAGGCACCTCTCACTCTTTTCCCCTCATCAATTCGATGATTTCACCGCAATCTTTCATGACCATCCGCTGACACGTCCACTCCCAAAATAATCTGAATAACATTCACTCCTCCATACTTCTCTTTTCTTCCCTTTTTTCCAATTGATATTCAATATTCTCATCACCTAATCTTTTTGTTATCCTCAAACCTTACTCTTTCCTGTATTCACCTTTAATTTTCTTCTTTTGCACACCACCAAATTCATCCACCAATCTCTGCAACTTCTCTTCAGAATTCTCCCAAGAGCACAGTGATCAGCAAAGAGCAGCTTGTGACAACTACACTTTCGTGTGTTGATTCTTTATCTTTCAATCCACACCTCTTGCATGACCCTCGCATTTACTTCTCTTACATACCCCATCTATAATATATTAAAAAAACCCCGGTGACATCACACATCCTTCTCTAAGGCCTTTACTGGGGAAAAATTTCCCTTTTCCGTACATATCTCTAAACTTGCAGCCTCACTATCCTCGTAAAACTCTTCACTGCTTTCAAGTACCTACCTCCTACACCATACACTTGCAACATTCTGCCTACATTGCCCCCCCTATCACCTGTCATACGCCTTTTCCAAATCCATAAATGCACAAAGACCTCTTAGCCTTACCTAAATACTGTTCAATTATATGTTTCACTGTAAACACTGGTCCACACACCCCTACCTTTCCTAAAGCCTCCTTGTTCATCTGCTATCCTATTCTCCATCGTACTCTTAATTCTGTCAATAATAACTCTACCATAAACTTTACCAGGTAATACTCAGAGACTTATATCCCTTAATTGTTGCACACTCTTTTAATCCCCTTTGCCTTTATACAAGGAACTATGCATGCTTTCTGCCAATCTAGTACCTTTACCCTCTTCCTATACATTTATTAAATAAATGCACCACCAACTCCAAAACTATATCCCCACCTGCTTTTTAACATTTCTATCTTTATCCCATCAATCCGGCTGCCTTACCCCTTTCATTTTTACCTACTGGCCTCACGAACTTCCCCCACACTCACAACTGGCTCTTCCTCACTCCTACAGATGTTATTCCTCCTGGTCCTATACACGAATCACCAGCTTCCCTATCTTCTCAACATTTTTAAACAATTCCTCAAAATATTCCCTCCATCTTCCATACCTCTAACTCTCCCTTTAATAACTCTCCTCTCCTATTTTTAACTGACAAATCCA